ATGTGTGTGTGTGTGTGTATGCAATCTGTAGCCATAGTTTGTGCGACATAATAGTTCTTCGAAATCGTTTCTTTGTAAAACGATATCGACTAGTGCTCGCAGCGATATCATGCATGCCTCGCATTTGCAGAATTACGCTTTTCTGTGTGTTTTTTACGAAAACATATACCAAAACATCAGATTACAGGTAACATGCCCTAACCGGTACATGGTAGAGCGCCGCATGCACACTTTCCAGAGAGGCTCGTTACTTATATAGGCCGCTCATCCTTCCGCATTATAGCGCTTCCGCCCCGCCCTTCAGCTCGCGCTGAACCCAACTCTGCCCCGCCCCATCGACTGCATTCCATCCCCACCCTCTTCTCGGCTGTATTCCCCTCCCCCGCTGCACCCGTATTTTAAACATCTTTCCATACGACACCTTTCCCAGCACAGCCAACGGTAGCGCTTCCGCATACGTCACTTAGCGACCATGATCCTCATTTGCGGTTGATTTTCACAAGCCTCAAAACTTTTTTTCGCTTTTTTTGATGCCTGTGAGTATTTGAAATGGTTTGCTTTGATTTCATAATTGCTGTCTCTTCAAATTTTCATTGGAAATCATAGTTCTGTTTTTAGATGATGTAACCAGTGTGATCAACTCAGTGCAGGCTGATTATTTTGCGGCGCATGAAATAAATCAGCAGGAGATCAAACTTTTGCGTGAAGCTTGTGAAAAGAAATGCCAAGAAGTATCGTTCTTTTTACTGTGCTTTTTTTCTTTTGATTGAACTGATGCGCCTAGTTTGCATTGACGTGCCTAGGTTGTCACTGTTACCATTCGTGCTTCCTCTGCGTATACTTTGTTCTTCGTAAGTCGTAAGGTGTGGAGGAGTTCCAGTGTTTATTTTGAATTGAATTACAGGCTTAAATTAGTCGAAATGAGGGTTGGAAGAACATCACTTATATTTGAAAAAATATCCTGTTCTTCTTTCCCAGTTACTTTTTGAGGGTTTTAATAAAATTTAGAT